TTTTTTTTTTTTTTTTTTTTTTTTTTTTTTTTTTTTCCAACAAACATATTGACGCTGAAAATATTTATGATGATTATTTTTAACTTTTTTTAATATTAAAAATACCAACCAGTAATTTTTCGTTAATTCACTAGTAAATTTTTTTCAACAATTAAAATATTCAAATGAAATTAATTAAGCGTAAAAACTAACAATACGCCAAAATAAAATGTTTTTACAGCGATATAACATTTTTAATTAGCAATTACAAGTCTAACACATTAATTTCCGTTTGGTCGGGTGGATTGCGATGAGCAGGGCCGACAGTAAATGCAAATAGGTTTGCAGTACACCAGGTACTGTGCAGTTCCAGGCCAATTGATTGAATTGACTCCGTATTCGCGTATAAATTCGTTTCTCTCTCCCAGTGCAACCTATATTTTCTCCCTCTCTCTCTCTCTCTTTGTCCACCCTTTAAATTTTCTCCTGACCGCTCTTATATTCTATATATATATATATATATATATATATATATAAATATATAGAAAATTGATGTGACTACTCAATGAAGGTCTCGATGATTGTAATGTCGGGATGAGCTTATATCTTTAAAAATATCAATAGTTCACAAGATACAAGATCATTTCTTATTTATTGACATTTTTAATGATATAAGCTCATCCCGAAGTTGCACTCATCAAGAGCTTTCATTTGAGTACCCACATGCATATTTCATATATTTTTCATAAATAGAAATTTATAATATATATAAATATACGAAATATATGAAAAAATAATGCAGGTACTCAAATAAAAGGTCTCGATGAGTGTAATGTCGGGATGAGCTTATATCGTTAAAAATGTCAATAGTTCACAAGATAGAAGATCATTTCTTATTTATTGATTCTATTAACGATATAAGCTCATCCCGATGTTACACTCATCAAGAGCTTTCATTTGAGTACCCACATGCATTTTGATATATTTTTCATACATACATATACATATAAATATATAAAATATATGAAAAATTGATGTGGGTACTCAAATGAAAGGTCTCGATGAGTGTAATGTCGGGATGAGCTTATATCTTTAAAAATATCAATAGTTCACAAAATATAAAGTCATTTTGTAATTAATTAATTATTCACAAAGTTAAACTATTTTTCTGTGTAAATATTAAATGTCTTCTATTTGGCTATTTGATCACGTTTCATCCTCAGAATCGCATTTAGTGCTTCAATAAGACAATTAGGTAGCCATTGTTCCGGTGAATAAGTAATTAGTAATTACTATATTGTACAATAAATATAATGAATACACTTGTTTCATGATCTAGGTTGCGCGTTCTTGTTTCAGGAATAAATTTTTATTACTCACGGAAATAAACTGTATATGAGTGTCTTACCTAAATTTAAATTTCTCTGGTAACCATTGGAGGGTAACAATCGTCAGAGGTTGTATTATAATTTCAAATATCGGCTAGTTTTATTCAATGCTTTTGAATATTTTTACATTGATATAAAAATTACATTTTAATGTCTTAGAGAAATGTTTGCTTTTTTTAAAAAAATCCATTCATAAATCCATAAGTTATATCTTTGCTAGAGAATAGAAATTTAAATCGTTGGTTGTATTTAGTTAATTTAAAAGTCGGGTTAAGAAGAAATACCTTATGCTTTTTAATAAAATTTAAATTGAATATTTAATTATGAAAAATAATTTAACTTTAATAAAAAATTAAATTAAAAATATAAATATTTATTTAATTTTTTTCCTTGTGGTCAAGAAGAAATAATTGATTAAAATTTTGTATTGTAGTTATCCATCGTGTAGTGGTGCAAGAGCACCAGGATTAGCGGCAGACATGCATTTTCGTGATAACGTTATCGCATTTATCGGTCCAGCGTGTGCTTTTGCATTAGAACCTGTTGCAAGGCTCGCGGCTTATTGGAACACGCCAATAATTACTGGAATGGGCGATCAGGTAAGTTATTTATTCACGCTTACTATCACTTTCATGACATTAAAGTTATCCATTGTTTTATTTTTTTTTAACGAACAATAAATTTGTTCCAAAAAGTTGAAATTTTAATTTTTTAATAATTTTATGTCAATTTTTTTCCATTAATTTTTTTTTTGTAATAACAAATAAAAATAATTAGAATTACTCCCTAATACTTATTACTAATTTTTCCGCATGAAAATAATTAACACAGCCGCCATCAGAAGGCGAACTCTCGGTAACATCCGGTATCCTTGGTAGACTTCACAAGTGGAAAAATGAGAGCTCTGTGAGTTTTATTTAATTTTTTTTAATAAACTTCTCATGTTCTGTTTTCTTCCTTTACGTCTTTTATTTCAACGTTATTTTTGTACGCACGATTTACTCTGTGGCTAATTAGAGTTTTTCTTTTTATTTACGATGGGTTAGTGTTGCTACTAATTAACTATGGAAAAGTATTTTGTTTGAAAGAAGAAAATTAATTTTATGTTTTATTTTTTACATAAATTTATTTTAAATAAAATTTTAATATTTATTAAATTATTTTTAATTTTTAATTAAATATTAATTGTTTTTTTTTTATAAATTTAATATATTATTAAATAATTTGATTTTTTTCTAGGGAATTTTTAAAGATAAAAGTAAATACCCTACTCTAACAAGAATGTCTTATTGCCAATGTCGCTTGCGATTAGTATTCTCAAGTATTTTCAAGGAATTTGGATGGTCACACGTCGCATTGATCCTCGACAAATCTGATTTGTTCTCATTAACCGTAGGAAAGAATTTGGAGTACGGATTACGGAAAGATGGCTTGTTGAAATTTGTTCGAGAACTCGATGGTAATGCGCAGGATGATTCTTATCATTTGTATCTTCGCGATGCGAGTATGTATGCCAGAGGTAATTGAACAAAATTTATTCAATTATATAGTTTAATAAATTAATTAGTATATTTACATAAAAATAAAAAAAAATTTTTGAAATTTCTTTCTAATTTTTGATTTTTTATTAATCAGAGATAAATTTATTGAGAAAAAATTTTGAAATTTCATTAAAAATTCCTTAATATATTTATGAGCGTATTAAAAAATCAAACTAAAAAGTATCATATGAATTATTATCCAAAAAATTTTTAATAAGCTATTTTTGGCCATATCTAGGTGAAAAATTAACATTTTTTTATTCTGCTTGTTTTTACGGCGCATTTATGATAAAAATTGTCGTAAAAAAAAATGAATTTTTTTGAAAATTTGTTAAAATTGTGATAATCAACTTTTTTTTTTTAATTGTTCATTTTTTTATGTATTCTTCAAAAAAAAATATGTCAATAACATCAAATAGAAATTTCGTTCAAAATGAAAATGAAAATGGTGGACCCCACTTGTAAATATTTACCAAAATTCCGTAATATATTTATAATCGTATTACAAAAAAGTAAAATACATAAAAAACTGAAAAATACGCTTTAATAAAAAAATAATACATAACTTATCAAAAAAATTTTTTAATAAGCTCAAGAGTATATCAAAGAATTTTTTTATAAAATTTCTTAAAATTTTGATGAGCAAATTAAAAAATTCTTTAAAAAATTTATCATTATAAACATAAAATTCCTATTGGATAGTTGTAATTCTGAGCGTTCGAGGAACCCTTGTCAGAAGATTCATGCTAGCAGCCCATGCATTAGGAATGACACGCGGTGATTGGACATTTTTAGACGTAGAAATAATTCAGGTAATTACTAAACATTTAGAATACACAAAAAAAAATTGAATTAAGTAGATAATTTTTTCAATTAAAAAATTTTTTTCTGACTTTTAAATTTTACTTAATTTAAAAAGTTTCCTCTTTAGTCAAATTAATTTTTTTTTCAAAGCAATTATTATAGATTTAATTCCAATAATACGATTAAAAAACTTTTTTTTTTCTAATCAAGGGATCATATTGGGGCGATCATGACTGGGAAATAGGCGACGTAGAAGATGCGGCGGCACGAAAAGCTTACGAAGCTCTTTTAAGAGTTTCTTTACTCCAGCCAACTTCTCCCCGGTTCCAAGACTTTGCAGAAGACGTCCGGATCCGCGCGCAAACAAATTACAATTACACATTTTCCGACGGCGAGGAAGTTAATTTTTTCATCGGAGCTTTTTACGACGGAGTTTACTTGCTCGGTATGGCGCTCAACGAAACTCTATCTGAGGGAGGAAATATCCTTGACGGACTCGCGATGACGAAGAGAATGTGGGGTAGAGATTTTATGGGAATTACTGGGCATGTTAGGATTGATGAAGACGGCGATCGAGACGCTGATTACAGCATTCTTGATCTCGATCCTATTACCGGAAGGCAATTGATTTTTTGTTTAATTTTATTTAGCATTATTAAGTAATTATTTCTTCTTTAAATTAATAAAATTAATTGTTTTATTTATTCAAGATTTGAAGTGGTCGCGCATTACTTGGGATTAAACAGGGAGTACAACCAAGTGTCCGGAAAAAAAATCCACTGGCCGGGTGGCCGCGAAGGACCACCCGCGGATATTCCTGAGTGTGGATTCCTCGGAAATGATCCGGCTTGTGCGCTTAAAACAGACGCGTATACTCTAATCCTCTACTCAAGTTTCGCGCTAGGTGTATTTTTATTCGCGGTTTCTACCGCGGCTTGCTTCCTTTACAGACACCTACGCCTTTCGGCTGACTTAAACAACATGTCCTGGAGAATCAGACCCGAGGAACTGCTACTGGAAGTCAGTAAGACTTTTTCTTCTAAAATTAATCTTCATCAGGCTATGGCGGAGGCTAATGTATGTAAGGGTTGTATAATAAGGGAATTTTTATTACAATTATAGTTATTTTTTTAATTATTTTTCTTGATAAAATTTTGAATCATATTGTTGTTATCATTTTACTAAAAATTAAATTTTTATGAAAGTGATTTATTATTTTAGAATTTTGAATAATTTTATTATTATTATGACTAGCAACCTTGCAGTCACTACGTGATTGCCGTGATTTATGAACCATATATAAATAAAATTTTGCTAAATAATGACTTTTGTTAAATTGCACTGTACTTTCTTAAATATTAACGTTTTTAAAGATATAAGCTCATTCTGATGTTATACTCATCAAGAGCTTTCATTTGAGTACCCACATGCATTTTGATATATTTTTCATATATACATATATATTATATATATAAATATATGAAAAATTGATGTGGGTACTCAAATGAAAGGTCTCGATGAGTGTAACATCAAAATGGACTTATATTTACGAAAATGTTAAGAATTAAGGAATGACTGTTGCATTTTGTTAACGAATGATTTTTTTAGCGATATAAGCTCATCCCGATGTTACACTCATCAACAGCTTTCATTTGAGTACCTAAATGCATTTTGATATATTTTTCATATATACATATATATATTATATATATAAATATATGAAAAATTGATGTGGATACTCAAATAAAAGGTCTCGATGAGTGTAACATCGGGATGAGCTTATATCATTAAAAATGTCAATAGTTCACAAAATAAAAGGTCATATCTTAATTATGCATGTTATTATTATAATTTTTTTAATCATTGAACTCATAATTTGACTGAGAGTAATTTTGGATTTATCTTTCTTAGTTCAATTTTGAATCAAATCATAATTTTTCTAATAATAATCCCAATTATTATTATTTTACTCAAAATTTAATATAAAAAAAAGATTTAGACTCATTTTTCTTAATAAAATTTTCAATCATTTTGTTATTATAATTTTTTTTTTATTATTTGACTCAAAATCTGACTATAAAAAATTTTTGATATTTGTTTTTTAGATAAATTTTAATCATATTATTTTGATATAATTTATAAGTTAAAACAAAATAATTAAATTATTGATAATGAAAAATTTTGTTTCAGAATTTTGGATTGGAACAAAAAAGACGAGGCTCGCAATTAAGTGGGGATTCATTAGCGCCTACTAGTATGTTTACCAGTGTCGGAATTTACAAAGGCGAAAGGGTTGCTATAAAAAAAGTGACTAAAAAAAAAGTTGTTGACGTAACAAAAAAATTACTATGGGAAATTAAACAAGTACGCGATGTTACTTCTGAAAATACTGTCAGGTCATTAACAAATGATTTTTCTTTTAATTTCTTTAATGAAAAAGCAATTAAAGGATTTTAATGGAAAAGTTTTATTAATTAAATGAATTAACAGATTTATTGGAGCGTGTCTCTGTTCACCATCCCCTACAGTATTAATACTAACAGAGTACTGTCCCAAAGGATCGCTTAAAGACGTCCTGAATAATGACGCGATAAAACTTGACTGGAATTTCCGAATGTCATTAATTCACGATATCGTTAAAGTAATTATCGATTTTCAATAACCAAATAAATTTTTCCACCTACTTAATAGTAATTATTTTAAAAATTAATTCTTAAACCAGGGAATGGATTATTTACATGCGAGCGAAGTAAACGCTCACGGTAAATTGCGGTCGTGCAATTGTTTAATCGACGGACGTTTTGTTCTCAAAATATCTGACTTTGGTCTCAAGACTCTGACCACTCCAGCGGAATTAATTATTGATGATAATTATTACACAAGTAATTTATTTTATTTTATTATATAATGAATTATTTATAGTTTTTTTTTTTCAATTATTCATATTAAATTTTTAATCTAAAGAATATTTTAATGAAAATTTATTAAGTAAATTTTTTAATAAAAAGATTTTTGGTAATTTTTTAATGAATATTTACTGAATAATTCTTTAATGAACAATTTTTAAGTAAATTTTTAGTAAAAAAGTTTTTTACTAATTTTTAAATTAAAATTTTTGCGAAAATACTTTAATTAATATTTTTTAGGGAAATTTAGATAGTAAAATTAATTTTAATTAATTATTAATTTAATTTATAAATTATTTAATAAATAAATTATTTTTAAAAATAGAATTATTATGGATTGCACCAGAATTATTACCACAAACAGTATTACCAGGTAGTGCTGCTACGCAAAAAGGTGATGTTTACAGTTTTGCTATTATATTAGAAGAAATAATATTACGTGGTGGTCCTTATGAAGTTGCTAAGAGTTATATGTCATCACAAGAAGTAATTTGTATTTTATATATTACTATAATACAAACATAATAGCCAATGTAATTAAAATATTAATTTTTTTTTCTAATAGATTGTAAATAGAGTGTCTTCTGGAGAAAATCCTTGCTTTCGTCCAGAAGTCCAGCCAAAGGATTGTCCTCCAGATATTCTGTGCTTAATGGAACGCTGCTGGAGTGAAATAAGCGAGGACCGTCCAACTTTCCAAGCTATCCGCGGAATAATTCGCGGGATTATGAAGTTAGATTAATTAATCAATTTTTATTAATTTTTTTAGTCATGAATAATCTAATTAATTTTTTTTTAATGTAGAGGATACTGCGAAAATTTAATGGATGATTTGCTACGACGTATGGAACAGTATGCAAATAATTTAGAAGCATTAGTTGAAGAAAAAACTGAACAATTAACTTTAGAAAAACGTCGAAGTGAAGAATTGTTGTATCAAGTATTACCAAGGTATAAATATATTTATATAAAAAAAAAAAATATTAAAAAATATATATGAGGCATTCCGTATCTTATTAAATACTTTAAAACTTTGAAATTTAGCTGAAAAAAAAATTTTTTTTCAATATCAAAAAAGTTTCTAAAAAAATTTTTAAGTTTTTTTTACTTGACCAAATAAAATTATTAATTTTTTAATAAAAATTATATGGACTATTTTTTTTTTAATTTTTGTTTTTCAATAATTCAAAATTATCTTCATCACTTTTTTGATATTTTCTCAAATTTTTACAAAATAATATTGCACGCTTCATAGGCGAAGCGGATGAAATTGTGCTCTACACTGACCTTACAAAAATCCGGCGATTTCTTGAACTAAAATTGTCTCTTTTTATTTTTTATCACACTTTTAGAACACTATTTGCACATAAATTTAATAAAAAAAAAACACTAATTTTAACACTTATCACATTTTTAAAAAACACTTTACTTTTTAAATAAATAAAAACAAAGTTTAAAAAAACATCACTCCGTGGACGTCCAACTGTCAAATGTTTGTATGGAAACTGGCGTGATCACGATAACTGCCGATAACTGCCGAATTAAGGAGATCCACGCGAAGTAGTTAAATTTTTAAAACTTCCCGAAAATTTATAAATTCAATCTTCGTAGTCTAATAATTAATAAATAAATTAAAAAATAATAGCTTTCCGGGATATTTAATGAAATAATTAAGTTTAAAAATTGAAATTTTTGCATGTAAAATGGAGATTCCACCAATCGGGTATTTGGTTAAGAATTTAATGCGATTAACGATTCAAAAAAAATTTTGTTTTCATTGAATTTGATTGAAAAAATAATAAGCTTTCGATTAAAATAATAAAAAAATTAACTTTCCGAACGTATTACGAAGATATTTTATATTTTTTATGAAAAATCACACGGAACTTCCGTTCTTTGAAGTCTTGTATTTGACATGGCGACACCGCTTGCGCAGTTACTCGGCGCATAAGTAACCGCGGTTTTTTAAATGCTAGAAGATCTTAGTCATTTTAATTAGACAGTAAACCTAAATAAATTTTAAGGTTAGGGACACTCTTGCAGTGTTATTAAGTGTATACCGGTAATTCAGAGTGCTATTTTTTTTTTTATAATACTAAAGTTAGCCGACGATTTTAATTTTTTATTAATATTTAAATTAGAATAAAAAAATATTTTTAAAAAAACGTATTAACAGTTTTTGAAGTTTTTTACAAGTGAAATTTTTTTTAATCATTTTTTTCAATAAAAAAAAATTCCAAAAATTTTTAGATGTCGGCTAACTTAATTTTCATATTTTTTATTAGTCAATTAAATGTTAATAATTATTTAATGAGTAAATTTTACGGAAATTTCCTCAAAAATGAAAATTAATTTAGCAAATATTTAATAATTTTTAGAACTTTTGTTAATAAATAAATGATATGCATAACAAAATTATTTCTACATATTATTTTTTTTATAGACATTATTTATACTTAGAGGGTACTTGGATCTCCTTAAAACTAAATCTTTTCGAAAATCACGGTTTAATTCTATGAAGTTTATTTATAATTAACAATAAACTAAAAATCCACTAACCGTTTTTATATCTGTCCTACATGAAGTGAGCTTAGTATCGAACTAACTCGAAAACATGGACGCTGATTTCTTATTGGTTTAGAATTCAAGCGCGCGCGCATGCGCGCAATTTAAATTTCTAGTATTTAGGCGCGAAACATTTAAAATTATTTTTTATATTTTATTTAAAATTGATTTTATTAAAAAATCAATTTTATTTTTATATTAATTATTTATTAATAATTATATTAACTATTTATTAATAATTATAATAATTATTTTAATCAATTTTATTTAAATTTTCCAAACTTTTTTTTAATTTTTTTAAAATTGAAAAAAAACAAAATATATTTATTAAATAAAAAAATATGAAATTTTTTATAAATTGGCAATTAAAAAAATTTTTTAATTATTTTAGACAAGTAGCTGGTCAACTAATGGCAGGAGAACTGGTCCAACCGGAACAATTCGAGTCCGTGACAATTTACTTCAGTGACATAGTAGGTTTCACAGCTCTGTGCGCCCAGAGTACAGCAATGCAAGTAGTAGACTTCCTAAACGATCTCTACAGCACATTCGACCGTATAATAGGTTTCTACGACGTTTACAAAGTAGAGACAATTGGTGATGCTTATATGGTAGTCTCAGGACTGCCCCAGAGAAACGGGGACGAGCACGCCAAAGAAATCGGTCTGATGGCTCTCGCCATCCTGGACGCTGTCAAGTCCTTCAAAATCGGACACAGACAGGACTCCCAACTAAGCGTCAGGATTGGAGCTCACAGCGGTCCGGTTTGTGCTGGAGTCGTTGGCCAGAAGATGCCTCACTACTGTCTATTTGGTGATACTGTTAACACTGCTTCACGTATGGAGTCTTCTGGCCTACGTAATTATAAATTATAAATTTTGTAGGGTAAAGGCTCCTAATATTTAACAATTAAAATAAAATATAGATAGAATATGTGCAGTAAAAAATTTTAAGTCAGAAAAATTAGTGTTAAAAAATTTTGTGTTGAATATTTAAAATTTTTTTTTGTAAATTTTTAATATTTATTTTGTTAAATCAATACAAAAAAGTGTTAAATGCTTTATCTCTAGATACATAATTAAGAAATGACCCTGTATCTTGTGAACTATTGACATTTTTGAAGATATAAGCTCATCCCGATGTTACACTCATCGAGACCTTCCATTTGAGTACCCACATCAATTTTTCATATATTTTATATATTTATATATATATATGTATATATGAAAAATATATGAAAATGTATGTGGGTACTCAAATGAAAGATCTTGATGAGTGTAACATCGGGATGAATTTATATCTTTAAAAACTTCAATATTTAAGAAAGTACAGTGGAATTTACCAAAATTTATTATTTAATGATCACGTAGTGACTGCCAGGTTGCTAGTTATCAATTATTAAAATTATATAATTTATAATTAATTAATTTAAAGTTAAAAGGGTCTAAAATTTTTTTTCTGAATAATTTCCTAAAATATTCATCTAAAACCTCAAAATTAAAAATAAATTTGAATTTTTTTTAAAATTATTCTGCTTCATAGTTTACCTACAATTCAAGACAATAATTTAAGAAAAATTCAGTAAGTTTCATTCTTTTTTTTTATAATTTTCATAATCAAAAATTTTTTATTATTTAATTTTTAATAAATTAAAAAAACACATTCGTTTTTTCTTTCTTACAGATCTCTGTATTTTGAACAATTTTAAAACAAGTGGCAAAAAAATTTTTTTAAGATAAATAGTTGGATCCTTTACCCTAATTATTTTTCACACAATAAATAAATATTTATTTATATTTTAAAATAATAAAAGTAATGAAAATTTTTAGCTCTAAAAATTCACGTGTCAGAGACGACTAAAAATATTTTGGACAAGTTCGGTACATTTGAACTTGAACTCCGCGGCGAAGTTGAACTCAAAGGCAAGGGCACAGTGACCTCTTTTTGGTTGAACGGTTGCACAACTCCAGATCCTCGGTTATCATCACCAAAGTTACGGAAGCACAGCACCAGTCCTCCGGACAACGGACAATGCACGACTTTGAATCCTTTGATTTTTCCTCAAAATATTTTAAACGCCAAAAACTCAAATAATACTTTTATTAATTTGTCTGAACTCTAATTTTTATTTGAGTAAGACTTTATTGAACTTACAATTACAGATATTTTATCTAGTCTATAAAATCAAGCCTCGTTTACAAGAAAAATAAAAAAAAAGTTAATAATAATATATGTTAATTTATTAACAAGTATTAATAGTAATTAATAATTAATAATAATGATTGTTGATTAAACTATATTCTTATTTTTCAGTCTACTTGAAAAAATAAAGATTTAATGATTATATTTAAATATATAAATGAATATTACTCACATGTATTTTAATAATCAAAGAAAATGAAAAACTAAAACGGATTAATAATTTAATTATGTTAATTGCAAATATAACCGAGGAGCGTGAAAATCTATAAAGATTTAATGCTAAATATATAAATATATTTATTAATTTTCTCTCGGCAGGATGAAGATTGCAATTTTTAACAGCAACTACTTCGACGCGAGGAACATAATGAGCCTGTAATTAATGAAATAATTATGTTAATTTTTTTATTGTGAATTTACACGGAAAAACTGAATTATATTGAATAATAAATATTAATAGTGATAAAAGCTAGATGAGTGAAGAATAGTTTTTAAGGATAGATATTTATTGAATTTCAATTTAAAATAAAAGTATAGTATGTTAAAATTATCAAGAAAGTTTACTAAATTTTCAGAATAAAATTTTTTTTCTCATTTTTGTAATAATGAATTATAAGAAAAAAATAGCTTTTTTGTACTTAAAATTTTAAATCAATATTGTTGAGAAAATAAGAAAAATTTTAGCTGCATTCGAAAATACTCTCGACACATAATTAAGAAATGACCTTGTATCTTGTGAACTATTGACATTTTTAAAAATATAAGCTCATCCTGATGTTACACTCATCAAAAGCTGTCATTTGAGTACCCACATGCATTTTGATATATTTTTCATATAAACATATATATAATACATATAAATATATGAAAAAATTGATGTGGGTACTTAAATGAAAGCTCTTGATGAGTGTAACATCGGGATGAACTTATAACTTTAAAAATATCAATATTTAAGAAATGATATTGTATCTCGTCAACTAATGATATTTTGAAGGGTATAAGCTCATCCTGATGTTACACTTATCAAGACCTTTCATTTGAGTACCCACATCATTTTTTCATATATATATATATATATGAAAAATATATCAAAATGCATATGGGTACTTAAATGAAAGCTCTAGATGAATGTAACATCGGGATGAGCTTATATTTTAATAAATATCAATATTTACGAAAGTACAGTATTTCAATATTAAATTATATATTTTGCTTTTTATACTTTTTTAAAATTATACTTAGTAATATTTAAAAATATGCTGATTAAATTAAATAATTTAATTTTTTCCGTGTATTAATTAAAAAGAAATGGAGTTTAATTAAGATGTATTTAAATTTAACATGATTAATTACCGGAAACTTATTGCTTTGGCCGCTAAAAGTCTGTTGCATTCAGCGGTGTCTGGTAATGGTAGTGGTAAATACGGACTCTCATTATCTTGCTCTGTGAAATCGAATTTGTGAATGCGAGGCTGTACTTTCATGTCACCGAAGGGTCCTTTTAGGATTAAATAGTGGAGCGCCAAGGGATATGTTGTCTTAGTTTTTAAAATCAGCTGTAAAAATAAATACAAAAATTAATAAAAAATTCTGTATATAGATTTAAAATAAAATAAAATTAAATTAAATTGTAGTACGCACTTGATAAGTCATATCACGCTCGGAACTCTGTGTGGGATCTCTCTGGCTATTATTAATTCTAGCTTTTACAACCCATTGATGATTGAACGCAGAGAAGCGTGATGTTTCATAGAATAATTTGTGTACAAACTCGTCGGTGCGGTATGGCTTCATTTGCAAGTCTAAACAGATAAATAAATAGTTTAGATAGTTCAGCGGCATTGTTATTATTATTTTTATTATTTATGATTTATGATAATGAAACATGCATTATTTATAAATGGACTAATGAATTTATTTTATATAAAAAAGGAGTAGAGGCAAACCGTTGAATGTGATTTTTTCGTAAGACAGAAGATCAAAAATATTGTCGTAGTGCTTGCGTTCCTCCAGGGTACGCGCGTCAATGTCACGCAGGGCTTCCATTACATCAGCACCCGTGCGATGAGGGTGGACGCACTGTGACTCGTGCTCAGCACGCTCGTGATTTGGACCTCGCCATGGGCAGCCGATTCGACTGTACTTGCAGCTAGATATTCTAATCGAATTTTTGTTTTATTAATATGAATTTAATTTTTAAATAAAATTTATTTTATTAGAAATATAAGCGATAAATTAATTTTTTTTGTTTAATTAGGGATTTAGTTGATTTTTTTTGCAGGATTTTTTAATAATAATTTTATTCAATTTCTTAATTCTTTAATTATTAATTTTTCAAATTAGACAATTTATTGTGATAAGTATTTAAGCTTCATTTTAAAATGCTTCACCTCTAGATACATAATTAAGAATTCACCTTGTATCTTGTGAAATATTGACATTTTTAATGATATAAGCTCATCCCGATGTTACACTCATTAAGAGCTTTCATTTAAGTACCCACATCAATTTTTCATATATTTATATATATTATATATATGAAATATATAAAATATATAAAAAATGCATGTAGATACTCAAATGAAAGCTCTTGAAGAGCGTAACACCAAAATGAGCGTAAATCAGTAAAAACATCATTAGTTAACAAAATCCAACAGTCATTCCTTAATTCTCAACATTTTCGTAAATATAAGTCCATTTTGATGTTACACTCATCGAGACCTTTCATTTGAGTACCCACACCAATTTTTCATATATTTTATAAATATCATATATATTCATATATACATCATATATATGAAATATATCAAATATATGAAAAATGCATGTGGGTACTCAAATGAAAGGTCTCGATGAGTGTATCATTAGGATGAGCTTATATCTTTAAAAATATCAATATTTAAGAAATTACAGTGCAATTTAACAAAAGTTATTATTTAATAACTCCAAATTTTATTTATTTACAGTCTACAATCCTCCGCAGTCACGTAGTGACTGCAAGGTTGCTAGTTTTTTTCAACGCTTAAATTACATTTTGAAAATTATTAATTTTTCAAATAAATTAAATTACTGCATTTTTTATCTCATTAATAATAAAATAAATTAAATAATCTACTAAATTACAATTATTGATTTAATTTATAAAAAAAAAAATTACCTTTCTTCACACATAATTTCTTCATGTCGTTCCAGCGAATTTCTCGGGAACTCCTTAGCACAAAACTGGCATTCTGCAGGTAGTTCAGAAACAGCCTTCTCAACGGCCAAGTTCCTAGACGCAGAAGTTTTGCTAATCTCAATTCTGCAATTAGGACAAGTAGCCAACTCATCCCTTAGTCTCGCGTCGGCGAGGACATGAGTAAAGCATCCCGCACACATCAAGTGTCCATTGGTACACTGTGAACATTACCATACACAAAAAAACAGAAAGTATTATTATAAACAAAGCAATTCCTTAGATCAGAACCTCGAATAATCCTCAACGATTGAAGACGCAAACAATTAAAAAATAAATCAGCAGTCTTTTTATCATTGACAATTATTCAAAATAATTATTTTAACCATTAATATCAACAATATATTATTTATAAACTTAATTACTAAGCTCGCGTAACAGTAATTATTAATTAGCCAAGCTAAATTATACTCTTTACCATTATTCGGTGTATATATTATTTTTATACAAATCTGAAACACAAAATCGTATGGGGACTATTAATAATAAATTACACTATTAACAATCATAATTATAATCATAAATATAAAAAAATATATCAATTACTACTTCACCATTTTTTTTTTTTTTTTTTAATATAATTATCTAATAATTTATGACAATAAATATGTCAATAAGGATTGGTACGTCAGGATAATATCCAGGACATTAATTAAAAAAATCCATTTTATTTATAAATTTAATTTCTATTTATTTTTAATTTTTTACAAATATATAATAATCAAATAATTATGATTATTTTTATTTTAAATATTCTCTCACTCTCACACTGAAGACACTAAAAAAATAATAAACATTTATTTAATTCTTTTTTTATCTTCATAAAATTTATGTCTTTATTATTAAACCAAATGAAAATAAGTAATAAATAATAAACATTACTGATCACACACAATATTCTTCATAGTATAATAAAATAAAAAAAAAATAATATATCTTGATAACAATCGTCTTCATAAATAAATTATTTCAAGTAATCTTCACAACAAATCTTCATTAATTATTCATTATATACTTCCATTATATTTATTATTAATTTATACGCAGTACAAAATTATTTTACTAAAATTAGTGTTTTTCTTTTACACTAATTTTTATTAAAATTTTATTTAAAAATCCGACCATAGATTTTTACCTGAATTTTTTTTATCTAAAAATGATTCTTACAAAAAAAAAAATTACAATTACAAAAAAAAAACTTCTAAAAATTTTCACTTGTAATTTTTATTAATTTTCACATGTGGAACTTTTGAATTAATTTTTCTTAATAAAATAATTTAATTGGTTTAAAATTCTAAAAAAATTTTTAATGCCTGTAAACTTCAGTGTCATTAAATTAAATGTATAAAAAGAAACTTGTGAATAATTAGTTACACGAATATACGACGCAATTTCATAATTGAAAATTGTCGTGCTAGTAAAAAAAAATCGCGTTTTATAAATTTCACCGTGATTTAATTAGACTTAAAAAAAATTAAAACTAACATGACATTCAAGTTAGCTGTCACTTTAATTTTATTTAACAAAAAAATTTGTTCCAAAAAATTATTTAAAAAAAAAACTTAAAATTTTTTATTTTTTTTTAATTTCTAGATGACAATTTTTTTTTCTTATTTTTTTTTTTGAATAATTTAATTGTTATAAAATTTTTTAAATTATTAAATATGTGCCACGTCAATTTTCATTAAATTAACAGACGTGAAAATTTTATAAAAAATATAGCAGACATTTGATAATTTTGAAAATTTATTTTTAAAAATTTTTAAAAATAAAAAATGCTATTTTTTAAAAATGATTTTTTCGAGCAAATTTGTTTAAGAAAATTAAAAACTTGTCAAGTGACAGCTAAATTAAATTAAATTTGAAGGTTATTTTTTTGTTTTAATAGTAAATTATTTAAAAATTGAAACGTCAAAATAAATTATAGTGAAGTTAGCTGACAGCTGTCAATTTTTTTTTCTTTTTACAATAAAAAAATAGTTTTAAAAAATTTCCACAGAAATTTTCACATGTGAATTTTTTTAAAAATAATTTTATTATTATTATAAAATAAAAAAAAATTTTTTTCAATGTCTTAACTTCAGTGTAATAAAAATGGAAAATTTATTTAAAAATTCACCTGTCAAAAAAAATAAAAATGTCTGCTAAATTCAATAATTAAAAAGTTTTATATGATAGCAAATATTATTATAATTGTTATAAAATTAGTGAGTGAATAAAAAATATGGTGAAGTGAATAAAAAGAAAAAGATTACCTGGTAAACGGCGGATCTCGGAAGATCAAGACAAACAGCGCAGCAAAGAATTCCACCCAGGCGATGTTCCAATTTTTGTTCGCTCTTTCCGTCATGTTTTACGAGCAATTTACGCCTCTTTTGATCTGGCTCTATAAAATCCTCGTTAGCTTTTTCTATTTCCTCGCGAATAGTTGGCTCAGATACACTACTCGACGACGATGCTTCACCACTCGGGTCAGCCATCTTGCTTGTTTTGATTTTTCCTAATTGTGAATAAAACTGCACGACTGGGACTGAGACTGAAAAATTTGTGAGAGCTCAAGCAAGCTTCACCCAGCGCCCGGACAACTAAAAATTACAAATTATATCAATTTATATATATATATAGATATATAAATATAAATATATATTATATATATAATAATAAATATATATGAACGGGTAAGTGAAAAAAAGAAAGAAAGACAAAAAAGGCAAACGTAAAGTGTTTTTACGCGCACGCGTGTTCAATTTTTTTTGACATTTTCTGTTCATTGTTCTTTTTTGTTTTTTATTTTTATTTTTATTCTATTTACTGTTTATTGATTTTTTTTTATTATTTTTACAATTACACTTTTATTAATTTATTTGTTTATTAATCAGCTGATTAATAAATAATTAATTTTGTAAACAAAAAAAAATAACAAACGTATAAATGACGTTTAATAAATTTAGTTAACTACGCAATTGATAATTATGCTGTTGAAATTTTTTGTGTGACGTCAATGATGACACGGATTTATTTAATAATAATAATAATAATAATAATCACCGAAAGTACCTTATTAAATTATCTGTTGACAGGTATGGGTTAATAAAATTTTATTGTTTAATTAAAATGACATACGGTTGTAAATTAAAAGGTGTTAATAATTCACTGGGTTGTTTAGAACACAACAAAGAGCTTGAGAACTCGTGTGTACTGTCTAGGGTACTGATCATGACCTCCCCACTGCTAAACTGCTATACATCTGCAGTTATCCCCACTTTTTAGCTATGGATTATTATTATATTATTATATTATATACATACTGTTGTTATTTGTAACACATTATTATTATTGTTGTTATTATTTGTGCTAGTATGTGTAGTTTAACTACATAGTTGAAGACAATTTTACTTTTGGTAGCAACCTTTCTCTTCAGGCATTCAACTGTAAAATTATTTGTTTTTTTTACTAACTAGAAATTTAATAAATATTTATTATTATTATTTATATTATTAGGAGATTAAGAAAAGTTTTGTTTTCAGGATAATCATGATAAAATCGTTTGAGTTTTTAAGAAATGACATTGTATCTTGGAAATTATTGACATTTTTAATGATCTAAGCTCATCCTGATGTTATACTCATCGAGACCTTTCATTTGAGTACCCACATGCACTTTTCATATAATATATATAAAATATATGAAAAATGGATGTGGGTACTCAAATGAATGCTCTTGATGAATGTAATATCGGGATGAGCTTAGATAATTAAAAATGTCAATATTTCACGAGATACAAGATAATTTCTTAATTACTGACATTTATCAAGATATAAGCTCATCCCGATGATACACTCATCAAGAGCTTTCATTAGAGTACCCACATGCATTTTCATATATTTTTGATATATTCATATATAAAATATATATGAAAAATTGATGTGGGTACTCAAATGTAAGGTCTTAATGAGTGTATCATCGAGATGAGCTTATATCTTAAAAATCGCTAATAGTTAAGAAAGTACAGTGCAATTTAACAAAAGTCATTATTTAATATTGCAAAATTTTAATTTATTTTAATTATAAGTCACGGCAGTCACATAGTGACTGCAAGGTTGCTAGTTGTTATTATTATCATCGAATTTATAGCTGAAGATAACAATAACAATAATAATAATAACCACAACTAATATTTTATTATTATTATTTTAAAAAAATCATTTACATTAACTTTCAAAATTTTTTTCTTCTGAAATGTCTAGGCACTAAAATTTCTTAAAAGAAAAAAAAATCTGAAAATATGTAAATAATTTATTTTCATAAATTTTTTACTGAAAAAAAAAATTACTCTATAAAAAAATAAATTTTGATTAAATTCTTCAAATTAAAAAATAAATAAAAATAAAATAATTATTATAACACATGCAATAAATTTGGAATTGAGGATCAAGATAAAGAAATAATTATTGACCTTTTATTTAACGAAATTCATAAATTTCCGATTTAAGTACTCAATTAATTAATAAATAAATTAATCAAATAGCTTATTTATTTAGCAATCACGCAAACATTTAATTATTCACAAACATAATTCGCATTTATAAGTTTAATTAACTGACACTTGTTCGTGCTTTAGATTTTTTTAGATATTATATATTAATATAAAGTATCTGAATTAAATCAATATATACAAATACACAATAATACTTATTTTTCGTATTTTTTTTTCTATAATACAGCTCTTTTTATAATTATCAATTATCATAATTATAATTATAATCATATATCTCTAACTCTTATCAATAATTTTTTATTTACGCTCGTTAAACAATTATCACTTTTGATACTTATTTGTTATTGCAATTACATTAATGCGGTAGTAGTCCATCAGCTATCGTTTGCCCATTATTATTATTATTATTACTATCGGTAGCATTGACATTCGGTTGCTTAATATCGGTGCTGGAATTCAATGTCAGCATTTGGTTCGTTGAATTTTTTAGATTTTTGTACGACTCTTCTAACTGTTCAATGCGACTCATCAAACTTGCATCTACACTTCGGACGTTGTTCACCTTTAAATAGAATTTTTTATTGATTAGTAAGTTTGATTATTGGCTATGAATTATTTAATTCTGTCTATATTCAAATCGAGGAAATTATTTACATAAAAAATACTTGAAGTTTTTTAGACACTAGATAGATATTAAAAGTTTTTTTTTTATAAATTTATAGCAATTAAATTATTATAAAAAAAATTTATCAGCTAGCTTCATAAAATTATTTTCGAAAGAATAAATAATTTTTTTATTAAATTTATATTATTAAGAGAATAAGAAAAATTTTATATAAGAAATATTTCTAGATACATAATTAAGAAATGACCTTGTATCTTGAGAACTATTGACATTTTTAAAGATATAAGCTCATCCCGATGTTACACGAATTGAGACCTTTCATTTGAGTACCCACATCAATTATTCATATATTTCATATATATGATATATATGTATATATGAAAAATATATGAAAATGCATGTGGGTACTCAAATGAAAGCTCTTGATGAGTGTAACATCGGGGTGAGCTTATATCGTTAAAAATATCAATAATTAAGAAAGTACGATACAATTTAACAAATATCTTGTGAACTATTGACATTTTTAAAGATATAAGCTCACCCTGACATTACACTCATCAAGACCTTTCATTTGAGTACCCACATCAATTTTTCATATATTTATATATATCATGTATATGAGTATGTGAAAAATATATGAAAAATGTATGTGGGTACTCAAATGAGAGCTCTTGATGAGTGTAACATCGAAATGAGCTTATATCTTAAAAAATGTCAATATTTAAAAAAGTACAGTGCAATTTAACAAAGGTCATTATTTAATAATGCAAAATTTCATTTATTTATAGTTCACAAGTCACGGCAGTCACATAGTGACTGCAAGGTTACTTGTTTTGAAATAAAAAAATTAATTTAATATTTAGGTCAATAACTTAGAACATTTAAAAATATTTTCTAAACATCATTGAAACCTTTTAGATAGTTTCAAACATATATGAGTTTCAAAATCATTCTAAAAATATTTAAATTAATTCTATATTTAATGACCTTTTTTTTTATTGAAAAAAAAAAAATATTTTGGTAAGTAATAAAAAACAAATTACCTCATCAGTTAATTTTTTAACAGAACTAACGATAGTTGTTTGTTCATTAGCCTTAGCACACTCTGCTTCTAAAGACTTTACTTGCATACTTGCATTTAGTGTGGTGTCTTGCAATGAAACTAACAATTTCTATAAATAAATAAAATGAATTGATTAATATATAAATTCATTACAAACATTATTGAGCAGTTAATAAATAAATAATTACATGATCTTTCTGCTGATCGTCGGAAAGCGATTGATATCCATGTGTGAGCGTGTCATTAATCGACGACAAATTATTTCTTAACTCAGATATCGTGTTACTCAATTCTTCAGTTTTAACTTTAGACTCGTTTGTTGGCATTGTTAATTTCTGAGTTACTTTCGTTAATTCATCTAGAGCCGTCTGAAAAAAAAAAAAAAAAAAAAACAATAATAATAAAATCAAGAGCTATTAATTATAGTTATTATAATATAAATGAAGTACCTTTATATTTGTGATATTCTGTTGAAGATCGTGTTGTGCATCTTGTAATTTAGTTTCAGTCTCTTTTAAAGCATCAACAGTGACTCTTAAATCCCGAATTTTACTTCCAAAGGTTGCGACACTTGAACTTATGGACTTTACTTGAGTCGGTATGTTTGTTAATTCTGGTGCATCGTGAAGAAGCTCTTGTACTTGATGGAGACCTTTTTGTATGTTTGTCAGCTTTAATTGAGTAATTAAAATTTTTCATTATTATTTTTTTTTTTAATATTCAAATAAGTATTTTTATATTTTAGATTAGACTAAAAAAGTTGTTTCTAATCTAAAATTTTTAATTATTTTATAATAACAATAATAATAATAATAATAATAATAATAATAACTAGCAATCTTGCAGTCACTATGTGACTGCTGTAACTTATGAACTACAGATGAAAAAAATTTTGCTTTATTAAATAATGAATTTTATTAAATTGCACTGTACTTTCCTAAGTATTGACATTTTTAAAGATATAAGCTCATTCCGGTGTTACACTCATCAAGAGCTTTCATTTGAGTACCCTCATGCATTTTTACATATTTTTCATATATATATAATATAAATATAAATGTATGAAAAATTGATGTGGGTATTCAAATGAAAGGATTGAAATTTTTTCTAATCCGTTTTAATAATAACTAGCAATCTTGCAGTCACTATGTGACTGCTGTAACTTATGAACTACAGATGAAAAAAATTTTGCTTTATTAAATAATGAATTTTATTAAATTGCACTGTACTTTCCTAAGTATTGACATTTTTAAAGATATAAGCTCATTCCGGTGTTACACTCATCAAGAGCTTTCATTTGAGTACCCTCATGCATTTTTACATATTTTTCATATATATATAATATAAATATAAATGTATGAAAAATTGATGTGGGTATTCAAATGAAAGGTCTTGATGAGTGTATCATCGGAATGAGCTTATATCTTTAAAAATGTCAATAGTTCACAAGATACAATGTCATTTCTTAATTATTGTATTTTTTAGAGATGTAAGCTCATTCTGATGTTACACTCATCAAGAGCTTTCATTTGAGTACCCACATGCATTTTTCATATATTTTATATATTTCATATATATATTTATAAAATATATAAAAAGTTCATGTGGGTACTCAAATGAAAGGTCTCGACGAGTGTAACATCAGAATGAGCTTATATCTTCAAAAACTATCAATAATAATAATAATAAAATGAAAATTACCTGAATAGTAAAATTATTAATTTGAGCTTTAACATCAGTTAATTGTGTAAATAACAAAGTTTGATTATTCTGCAAATCTTTCGACAACGAGTGGCATTTTTGCAATGCATCTGGTACGCCTTCACTACCGGCAATAGCTGCAACATAAATAAAACACTAAAATCAATAAACAAGTTAAAAATAACAATCTACCTGAAAAAAAAAAAAAAATCATCTGATAAACAATAACAATATAAAAAATCCGTAAATAAATAATTCACTGATCTCCGTCATGAAACAAAAGCCGCTGTTTATATTATAATAAATATTAATCATTAATGATAGATCTCTTGAATCCGATCCCACGTGACCGATACCTTGGTCGACTTCCGTTCTGAGTGACGTGAGTTGCTGACGGACATCGATAAACAGCCAAATGAGACTGGCCGTCGCCAGCAAAGAAGCGCATCCGAAAAACGCGCTGCAGGCCTTTAAAAGACCCGGACAAGACCGATTTCTTCTAGCAGCTGTCTTGCGATTCCCTCGAACAGAAACGTTCCAATATTCTGATCTGTCATCGCTGCTATCTGTCAGCAATTCCTTAAAAAAAAAAAAATAAAAAAATTACAATAATAATAACAACAATAATAATAAACCAGTTCTTTAATATTTGACATTTGCAATCAGATCGTTTCGTAACAAATCAAGGCAACAATTATTACCCAATAAAAATATTTACCTGAGAGCTGCGTTTTCCTGATACTCGTCGTGATATAACATGTGACGGTGCTAGTGCGTCAAGTTCCTTACGTTTTTTCATTTTTTTAGTCGGTGGGCGCAATGGTACCGTAACAGCAACTGAATCCATTTTTTAAAACTATTTTTTTCTTTTTTAAATTAATAATTTTTTGGACCAATAATAATAATGTCTCAAATTTACATTGTTTTTTTTTTTAGTTAATTTTTTGGACGAATAATAATATCTCAAATTTATATTAGTTTTTTTTCAATTAATTAAATGAATAACTTTTTGAACGAATAATACCAATAATAATGTCTCAAATTTACATTATTTTTTTCACCTTGACTCGCACAAATCACTAACAATTTTATTATTTTTTTTTTACTATTTTTGATTAGTCATCGGCTTTTTACAATAATTTTTTATCACCAATTAGCAATCATAAATTATAATAAAAAAAAGCACTTATCAAAACTTAATTTATAATTATTCTCTTATCACTTTTTTATCTACGTCTATCTCACAGCCAACTATTTTTTTTTACCAAACAATACTTTATGTACACAATTGGTTTTACAATTCTAAAATATTAAAAAAAAAATCCACTTGCTTAAAAAAACTTTCTTTAAAATAATTTAAAAACTAAAAACTAAAATTTGATTATTTATTCATTGAAAAAAAAAAAAAGTTTCCAAGGCTTTTGGTGATAATAAGCGACCCTGATTAGATAAGATACAAACTTTAAAAATACCTTTACAAATTAATTAAAGAAAGTTTGTTGAAATTAAGTAAACAGATTATTTGAACTTATCAAACGCTGAGGTACTATCGATCCACTGAGAACTCATTCTTAAATTCATATTCATAAATTTATTAATCAATAAATTATTCAAGATTTTTAGTTTAAATGGTAATGACTATTAATTATTACTAATTTATTTTGATTAGCTTTTTGATGCAGATTTATGTGTGAATTATTCTAAATTATTAATAAAATAAAATAATGGAGGAAATTGTACCGCCTCCGCGCAATTCACAAACGTTACTGATACTGGGTGGCGCGCGGCGTTACATTAGATTGTACATGTTGAAGCTTGATATTGACTTGACTAAAAGGTGTGCGAAGGTGGTAACACTCTTGACATATAATACAATATAAATACATACAGATATACGGTTGGATAATACCGCTGTTTAAAGAGATAAAGGACACATAACTTGTTCTTCAATTTAACTTTGAACATATAAGTGCTGGCTTTTTTTATATTTTTTTTATTAAAGCTATATATATTTATTTATAGATATTGATTAATGGATTTGATAGTTTTTACTTCGACCTTTTTTTTGCATTTAATTAATTAAAGTTGTATGTAAATTTTTTTTTCAAGATTAATGTAATTTTGTGAGAGAAATTGCAATAAAATACTTAATTTTAAGTTACAATTTTTAATATTAAATTAATGACTCGCAAAATTGAGTCTCAATTAGCCAACGCTTGAAAATTATTCATTTTTTTGACCAATTAAACTATAAGTAAAAAAAAAATGCACGTATAACTTTAAAAATTTTCTACAGGTTAAATTTTTTAGTTTTATTTTTTTATGACATTAAAGTAATCAATTACTCGACAATTTTTTATTTTTTTTAAATTTTTTTAGAAAGTTACTTTGAAAAAATTGTATTTTGATTTTTTTTTTATTTTTACAAGTCAATTTTTTTTTTGCCATAATTTGTTACAAAAATTCTTAAAACTAGCAACCTTGCAGTCACTATGTGACTGCCGGGACTTATGAACTATAAATGAATAAAATTTTGCTTTATTAAATAATGACTTTTGTTAAATTGCATTGTACCTTTTTATCTATTGACATTTTTAAAGATATAAGCTCATCCCGATGCTACACGCATCAAGACCTTCCATTTGAGTACCCACATGCATTTTGATATATTTTTCATATATACATATATATATAAATATATAAAATATATGAAAAATTGATGTGGGTACTCAAATTAACGGTCTCAATGAGAGTAATGTCATGATGAGCTTATATCTTTAAAAATGTCAATAGTTGACAAGATATTAGGTCATTTCTTAATTATTTTTGTTAAATTGCATTGTACTTTCTTAACTATTGACGTTTTCAAAAATATTAGCTCATTCTGATGTTACACTCATCAAGAGCTTTCATTTGGGTACCCACATGCATTTTGATATATTTTTCATATATACATATATATATAAATATATAAAATATATGAAAAATTGATGTGGGTACTCAAATTAAAGGTCTCAATGAGAGTAATGTCAAGATGAGCTTATATCTTTAAAAATGTCAATATTTCTCAAGATACAAGGTCATTTCATCATATAAATACACTGGTCACAAAATTTTTCTGACTCTCTTAATAGTGTAGATTATCAAATATTTGATAAATTAATTGTCATATTTATTTTTAATAATTTTTTAATAAAAAAAAATTTTCAAATATCAGCTGATTCAATTTCTCACATTTTTGATATTTTAATTACTAAAAATATATAAAATACTAACCAGAACGTATTGATAAATCCATCCGTCCAATTTCTCCATAAAGAATAGCTGCTACCCATGACAATGCAATCAACCAAAAAGTTATTAAAACCGCTGCTAACCATAGCGCAATTACCCTCGATTTACTTCTATTACACGAACACTGATTTTTATTATTTTTTGTTCTCACTCTTTGTCTCCTAAAATAATAAATTTTTTACTCATAAAATTAATAATGACACTGAGACTAATATTTACCTTTTGACATTTCTTTTGACAGGTTTGATAATCAAGTTGTCAGAGGAACTGTCAGAATCAGAGGGACGATCCAGAAGTTTAATCGTCTCTTTTATATTCTTACTTCCCATAGTTTATTTCCATTTTAGGTAATTAATTTATTTTATTTTTATTTTTTTTAAAATTAAATACGTCGATAAATATTTATTCTAATAAAATAAAGAATAACCTCACAGTTACCATTTTTATTTATTTTATTTTATTTAACTAATATTCAACAGATTTTCACTGTTTTATTTTTTAAGTAAATTTACTTATAAATGCAATAATTTTATTTAATTAAATAATTTAATTATGCATCTTGTTTTATGATTTGCAATTGTAAAAAATAAGTGCTCTGTTGTCATACACACGTTTTTCTCAGTAATTCATATTTTTCCCGCTTGATGGCGCTGTATGTTTATTTTAAAAAGTAGTTTCGATTTTTCCCGCGTACGCTTTGAATTTTGCGCGCTTTTTAAAGTTTAAATAAATTCTTTTTTTTTTAATATTTTTTGAACATTTTTTTTTGTGTGATATAACTATTGACAGCTGTTAATTACTCAGTCTAATAAAAAATTTATTTAAACAAATAATAATAATAATTTTAGTGTATAAAATAATTTTAATAATAATAAATGCAATCAATGATCGAAAATTATTGAAAGCTCACGTAATTTATCTAAAAATAAACCTTCATTTTACTAATACCGTAATCAAGGTGCCATATGTGTATACCAGCCATCAATATATATATTTACATAAAGTATATGTAAATGTATATAATATGAATATGAGTTATTTATAAAGTGGGTCGTATAAGCTGTAATATAACATCGGATTATATTGCATTGAAAAGGTATTAAATAAATATGACAGATAAATTACACAGGCCTGTCATTATTTTCAGGAATTACTGGGATGATAATTAAAAAAACAAACAATTTTGGTAAGTTATTTATTTGATGTCATTTTTAAAAATATTTTTCAGTAACTACTTGTTGAAAAAAAGTTATCATGATAATGAAATTGCTGTTTAGAAATTTTTTTTTGTTAATTCAAATGAAAATTAAGTCAGCTGACATTTAAAAATTTTGATAATTTTTTTTATTGAAAAAAATTATTACAAACAAAAAAAAACTTTGACATGTAGAAAATTTGAAAAACTATAAGTCCAATTAAAAAAAAAAAAAACATTTTTTAGTTCTAATTTAGTTAATTAAAAATGTCGGCTAACTTTATTATTATGACTACTTTTGGATTTTATTCGTGAAAATTAATTTAGCAGATATTTAACAATTTGAATAATTTTTGTGATAAATAAATTATGACAAAAAAAATGGATATTTGGAAATAAAAAAAAATTAAGAATATATATATATATATATATTTTTTAGTTATAATTTAATGATAACAAAATATATTTTTTAGTTATAATTTAATGATAACAAAATATATTTTTTAGTTATAATTTAATGATAACAAAATATATTTTTTAGTTATAATTTAATGATAACAAAATATATTTTTTAGTTATAATTTAATGATAACAAAATATATTTTTTAGTTATAATTTAATGATAACAAAATATATTTTTTAGTTATAATTTAATGATAACAAAATATATTTTTTAGTTATAATTTAATGATAACAAAATATATTTTTTAGTTATAATTTAATGATAACAAAATATATTTTTTAGTTATAATTTAATGATAACAAAATATATTTTTTAGTTATAATTTAATGATAAAAAAAATCAAAAAATTAAAAACATCAGTTAACTTTAGTATTATATTATTTATTTATTAATCAGTTGTACATTTTAATGTTAAACAAAACTTTTTTACATTTTTCTCTTAAATCTAATAAATTTTTAAGAGTAAATATTTTAACATGTAAATATATATATTCATAGAATTTATTTATAAAAATTAATTTTGCAGATATTAGATAATTTTTTTAATAAATAAATAATGACCCGAAAAAAATTATTTAAAAAATTGAAATGAAAAAAAATAAAAAATGCAATTTTTTAAAAATATAGTTTTTTGTTAAGTAAAATAAATAAATTATGAGGTGACGGCAAACTTTAATGTCATATTAACTTTTTATAATTAACTTAACATTCATAGCAGTTAACTTTAGTATTATCTTCATGATTTCTAAGTGTCAAATTTTATATATTTAAGGTAAAAGACCCAGTTATTGACACTGGCGTAGTTGGGCAATTTTATTCTAATTAAAGAAGTAAAATTAAAAAAAAAAAAATTATCCAAAAAATTATATTTATTAATGTATCAGAGTTAATGTTTTTTTTTTTTTTTAATCAAAATAAAATTGCAAGTGTCAATAACTGGGTCTTTTACCTTAAATTAGAACTAAAAAAAATGACACTTATATTTGATGAAATTTTCAATAATTTATTCAAAAAAAAAATCCTAAAAGCTGTCAGATGTCTGATAACATATATAATTTTAATAAACTTATCAGCTGTTTTGATTTCAGTATCATGTATAAATAAAAAGTGGCAATAAAGCGAAAGCTGGTACCTTGTATATAAACATTGTATTATGATAACGCGCACACTCAAACTCAAGTAATAAATATCTATTTTAAAATTATTCGGAGTGGTTGGCTTAGCTTAGCTCTGGTTGGTATTTTCCTTGACATTGGTTTTTAGCTAGCAGCTCACCAACAGTCAAGCTCAACTGAACACAGTCATACATACAGAATACAGATCAACACAGCAAAGACAGAAGACAAAGTAAAGCCCGTATAGTAGCGTATGCCGCACAATTGCAAATTGCAAATGCCTGTAAACGCTCCTCGTAGGCTCACGCTCACTCATACAGGCTGTCGCTGTTAATTTTTCTACTCTTGTAATTTCCTGGAGCTTTATCACCGCAATTCATCACTTAACAATAACTTGAACTATTTATTTATCAAAATGGGAATTATTCTGTCAAGATTTCGTGTAAGTTTTTTTTATTATTTATTACTCCATTTTATTTTACTTTTTTTTTAACCACTTGCGCGGTATTTGTGAAAGTTTTAGGTTATGATCTCAAAACAAACTTGAATTTCTCTCTAATTATTTTTTATTTTTAAAATAATTGCAATAAATTATTACTCAGTTTTTTAATTACTAGTTTTTTTTTTTTTTTAATTATTGATGTTTTTTTTTTAATTATTTAATAGGGTAATTTTAATTGTAAGTTTGAAGGTTAGGCGCGATTTTTAAAATTGTAATTCCATATGTTTTAAAATTTATTATTTTTTTTTTTAAATAAATCATCAGCTGATTTTTTTTATTTAAATTATTCATAAATTTATTTTAATTAATATATATATTGATTAATTAATGATAACACATGGTAATAAAATAAATGTGACTGGTCAAAGCGTTAATTTATTCTTGAAACAATTGTCTGGTTGAATCCAAAATTACCATCCAATGACACAGCAACTGTTTTTAAACTTAATGGATTGTCTGGATGGTCAAATAGGTCACGAATTATATTTTTGGCAAATAATAATATTTTTTTTTAATTAATTTAATTTATTTATTTTTTAATTTACTTTATTATAATTTTTAAATAATATTTTTGCATGTATTTATAGGATTATTATTTTAATTTATTACTAAGCGTATTTTTATTTTTAGAAAAAGAAGACGACAATAGAAATTTTGGAGGACCTTGACTCCGTAAGTTATTTTTTAAATTAAAAAAATTATAAGATAAAAATTAAATTAGCATCTGAAAATTTTTAGAATTTTTTTTATTAAAAAAAAAATTACAAAAAAAAGAAAAATTTAATACGTAAAATATTTAATAAATTAAAAGTGTAATTTAATTAATGAAAAAAAAATTTTTAATTTTTAATTAATTAAATAACAAGTAAAAAAATATTTTTTAAAAAATTGCACATAATTTTTAAAATTTTGTTGCATGAGCAATTTATTTAAGTTGTCAGCTAATTTAATACTCATGATTTCAGTATCATAATTATGAATAAATATCTGAAAAGAAATTTTTTAATTTATACTTTTTATTACAGCAAATAAAAGAAATTGAACAGTATGGCCAAACAACAGAACAGAGGCATAAAAAAATAGTTGGAACATTAATAATATACAGTGTGTTACTTTATGTCGTAACGGCGGTACTGTTTTATTTTTACTTCTTTCCTGCTTCACTTTACGATCAACTTTTTTACATCACTCCATTATTAGTTTTTCCATTGCTGTAAGTACATAAATAAGTAAATAGATAAATCTATATTATTAAGACAATAAAATGGGTATTTACCAATAGTAAATTTATGATAATAAGTATTTAGGCTGCATTCGAAAATGCTTTATCTCTAGATACATAATTAAGAAATGACATTGTATTTTATGAACTATGGACATTTTTAAAGATATATGCTCATCCCGGTGTTACACTCATCAAGACCTTTCATTGGAGTACTCACATCAATTTTTCATATATTTATATATATTATATATATGTATATATGAAGAATATATCAAAACGCATGTGGGTACTTAAATGAAAGCTCTTGATGAGTGTAACATCAGGATGAGCTTATATCGTTAAAAACATTATTAGTTAACAAAATACAACAGTCATTCCTTAATTCTTAACATTTTCGTAAATATAAGCTCATCCCGATGTTATACACATCAAGAGCTTTCATTTGAGTACCCACATGCATTTTTATATATTTTTCATATATACATATATATAATATGTACAAATATATGAAAAATTGATGTGGGTACTCAAATGAAAGCTCTTGATGAGTGTAACATCGGGATGAGCTTACATCTTTAAAAATGTCAAAAATTAAGAAATGACCTGGTATTTCGTCAACTGTTGACATTTTTAAAGATATAAGCTCATCCTGATGTTACGCTCATCAAGACCTTTCATTTGAGTACCCACATCAACTTTTCATATATTTATATATATATTATATATATGTATATATGAAAAATATATGAAAAGTGCATGTGGGTACTCAAATGAAAGGTCTTGTTGAGTGTAACATCGGGATGAGCTTATATCTTTAAAAATGTCAATTGATAAGAAATTACAGTGCAATATAACAAAATTCATTAAAAAATAAAATAAAATAAAGACTAGAAATTTTATTAAAAAAGTAATTTAATTTTTACAGGATAATATTTACCAAAAAACTGGTGACGTGGTATTACAAAAGAAAAATCTCAAGGAATCAAGAAAAATTAGTAGACATGCAGAAAGAGAAGAAGAAAATTTTAGATCAAGTCACTGAGACGGAGACTTATAAAAAAGCTAAAGAAATTTTGCTTAAATTCGCTCCTGATCAATTGCGAATGACACCTGTAAGTATTTCATTATTATTATTATTATTATTATTATTATTATTATAATTATTTTAATAAAATTTTATTTAATATATACTTTAATTTTTTTTCAGCTTTCACCTCAGGTAAAAAATCTTAAACAGTATAAAAAAATTCCAATAATTATTTTTCCGTAGATTAATAAAAACAATTTTCAGCCTGTATCAAAAACACCAATGACAACCCCAGTACCAAGGCGCCTGAGTACACCACAGCCTCAGACACCGATGCCTCAGCCATCGATGGCCACTCCAATGCACCAGATGTCTGACGCAACTGAGCTGCGAAAGCGCGCGTTAGCAGCAACCAGCCCGCAATTAAATTCATCAATTGGTAGGCCCTTAAATACTGGTCTTGTACCAGTTGGGTTAGCTTCTGCTAATACTCCGCAGCAGACTCCATATTATCATCCGAGTGGTAGATTGTTAAATGCTTCGTTAATCCGTCCTCGTTAGTATTAACCCTCTAGCTTCATTGCTATTGTTTTATTAATTTTATTAATATGCCTTGGTTTTTGTGTGTTGGTATTTTAAAAATTTGTTTTTTTTTTTTATAAATTATATTTGTCTAATTTATTTACTGTTACTTTTAAATAGGGTCACCGTTACCACGTCCGATACTTCCGAAACAGAGAAGTTATTTGGATCGCTTGGTTGAATATTTGGTGGGTGATGGTCCCTCTAATCGGTACGCGCTGATATGTAGGCAGTGTGATTCACATAATGGAATGGCGCTCAAAGAAGAATTTGAATATTTTGGTAAATTTATTTTTTTTTTTTTTAATATTATTGATAAAAAAAATAAGCTAAATTTTAATTATTTAATCATTTGCTAAGACAAAAATCAAATGGCAAAGATCCATTAATTTTATAGTTACATAAATAATATAAGATTTATATTAAGTTGATTTAGTAAGTTCAGAAAATTTTTTTTAATTAAATTTAGTGTCATTGCAAAGGTTTTGACTTAAATTTGTGCGTGTTCAAGGTTTCATATCATTTTCACCGATAATCAATTTATTATGATAAGTATTTAGGCCGTATTTGAAAATGCTCTATCTCTAGATACATAAATAAGAAATGATCTTGTATCTTGAGAAATATTGACATTTTTAATGATATAAGCTCATTCTGATGTGACACTCATCGAGACCTTTTATTTGAGTACCCACATCAATTTTTCATATATTTATATATATGTATATATGAAAAATATATAAAAATGCATGTGGGTATTCAAATGAAAGCTCTTGAAGATTGTAACATCGGGATGAGCTTATATCTTTATAAATGTCAATAATTAAGATATGACCTTGTATCTTGAGAAATATTGACATTTTTAATGATATAAGCTCATTCTGATGTTACACTCATCGACACCTTTCATTTGAGTACCCACATGCATTTTTCATATATTTATATATATTATATATATGTACATATGAGAAATATATCAAAATGCATGTGGGTATTTAAATGAAAGCTCTTGATGAGTGTAACAACGGGATGAGCTTATATCATTAAAAACTTCAATTGTTAAGAAATTACAGTGCAATTTGACAAAAGTCATTATTTAATAAAGCAAAATTCTATTTATTTATAGTTCACTTCTCGGCAGTCACGTAGTGACTGCAAGGTTGCGAGTTGAATTAAATAGACAAAAATAATTTAATTAATTTATATAATTAAGAGATTAAAAAAAATTTTCAACCGATATAGGTACTTTTATCATAAATTAGCTTTGATATTTTTTTCAGCAATTGTCATTTACAATATAAATAATTAAACGAGCAAGAAAAATTTTTAGACGAGCATATAATTATATTAAAAGAATTTTTCGCTAAATTAATTAACCATAATTTTTTTCCATCACATTTGTCCACTAAATTATTTTTAATTGATCCTAAAATAGAACTATTATTTAAAAAATGTCTTTAAATAGTACTTGACTATGTATAAAATGATTATAAATATAAAAAAATCATCAAGGAAAATTTTCCCTACTAATTATTTTTGTTTGTAAATAGGGTTCCGTTGCTGTTACTGTCAATACTGGAATCCAGCACGGAAGCAAAAGCCTTCAGCGCCGAAATTAGATGGTGATATTACATCCCCGTTATCAATAACCGGCCGCCAAAGCGGCAAGTCAACAGACCACGAAGCGACGTCATCTAGCTCGTCTGGCACTGACTCCGATATTGAAGTCGTTGATAAGCCAGACACACCAGAAGCAGAAGCCATTGAGTCTGATAAATTAATTGATCAGAAGTTAGCCGACAAAGGTACATTTAAAAGAAAAAAATCTCTTCAATTAATTAATTAATTGATAATAAAAAAAAATTACTTTTGTAGTTTTAAATGAAGAAAAAAAAGTAATTGAAGAATCTGAAGATAAATCTGACCAAATGGAGGTAGACGAATCTCCACGTAAATGATAATAAATAATTATAAATACTAATTGTAAATTAAAAAAAAAAAAAAAAACATTTTTAAGACCAACAGTGGCTTGGATTTTTAACGTTTTCGCGTGCATATTAATGTAATTTAATAATAATCATTACTCATTCCAATGTGTTATTGATATTGACATATATTTATTATTATTATTAGCGCAATCTCCGGAGCGATATATTTTTTATCGCTGGCTAATTTCGCCATAGAATTTATTTATTATATTTTTTTCACTGCACAAAATACAGCTTTTTATTTATTATTATTTTATAGAATTTAAATTAATAGACTTGATACCGATAATGATTATTATTATTATAGTTAATATTGATTGATTTATTTTTTTTAATCTCAATAACGTAATAAGTGTTCATATTAATGTAAATTATTTTTGGACTGTTAATAATGTTTAGATAAATAATTGGCAATCAAAATTAATATTGTTGTAATAAAATATCTCGAGACTGTATTCTATTTGTCAATAACATAAGCGTAGGTTTAATTAGTACGTATGACTTTTGAGCATTAATAAAAATTATTTATGATAAAACTTTTTGTTTTTTATTTTATGTAAATAACAATTAAGATTATTTTCATTTATTTTTTGATGCTGAAATTTAGAAACATCTGATTTTTTAACACACTTAAGTTAATTAACACTATAAATTTTTTTAATGAAAATAAAATTTTCAGATAGTTGATAATTGTAAAAATTTTTTTAACAAATAAATTATGACAAAAAAATTATCAGGGAAGTTTTTTGAAGTTATTTTTTATTTTAATTTATTGATTAAAAAAAAAATGTTTTAAATTGACAGCTGTTAGCTAACTTCACTATCATTTTTATTTCACATAATTTTTACCTCGCTCAAAAGTATTTGATATTATTTTTACTCAAGTATATTCTTCTCTCTAGTTTGTTTAGATATAAATAAATTACTGTAATAAGATGACACTGAAGTTAGCAAACGTCTAAAAATTTTGGATTTTTTTTTAAATTAAATTACAGCCAAAAAAATATTTCTAAAAAATTGCACTTGTAGTTTTTCAAGTTTTTTACATGTGAAATTTGTTTTTTTTAATTATTTAATTGAAATTTCTTTAATAAAAAATTTTGAAATGTCCGCTAACTTAATTTTCATGTAATAAGTGATAAATTATTGTAATTTGTAACGAAATAAATTTTTATTAATAATAAAAAAATAAAGTAAACTTACTTGTTGAAATTTTTATAGTAATAAATTTTGACTTTAGAGGCGCTAGTGTTGAGCAAAAAGCCGGAGATTCCCGACAATTACTACCTGTCCGGCACACGAACGACTTCTGTTTTCTGTTGATAGTTTAGTTCAGTTTCAATTGAATTGAATTGAATCGTTGAATATTGTGTTTGTAAAATGGAAAGCACACGGGTTACTAAAGCTAACCCTGCACCAACAGTGGAACAGATCACGTCAGACCACATAACACAGGTAAATATTTATTATTAATTAAATTATATATATGATTAATTTAAATACTTTAAAATTGCAATTTAATAATTTTTATAGTTTATTTTTTTCACAACGTTGTAAAAACGTTGAGTTGTAGGTTATGTTAAAATCTCAATGTTTATTTATTTTTATATTATTTAAAGACATTTATTAATGTTAATGATCTTGAAATTAACACAATTATTGAAATTGAATTTTAGAGTTGGTTTTTTGTATCATCAATCATCAACACATTTTTAATATAGAAATAAAAATGGCGCGCCCGGCTTTTATTTTGCCCCAAATAATATTTTTATTTTTATATCAATTATTAATTTGTAAATTTTTATTTTGTTAACATTAAAGTTAGCAGTCACTTGACAATTTTTGTATTTTTTTTTGAAAAATAAACTAGTCATAGAAAATTATTTATAAAAATCTCATTTATAATTTTTCAGAGCTTCTAAAGATGAAATTTTTAAATAAAATTTTCTTACTATAAGTTTTTTGTTAAAAAAAGAATTCTAAAAATTTTCAGATGTAAAAATTGCATTTTTAATTTTGTTCAAATTCTATATATCAATATTTTTTTTTTGCCATAATTTATTTGTTAAAAAATTTCTTGAGATTATCAAATATCAACTAAATTAATTATCATATTTATTTGTAATAATTTTTTAGATAAAAATTTTTTTATAAAAAAAAAATTATAGAAATTTTTAATTGTCGGCTAATTTAATATTCATGTTTGATATTTAATTACTAAAGACATACAAAAAAAAAAAAAACTAACTTAAATCAAGAAGACAAAATTCTTCAAAATTATTTATTTTTGCAATTTTAACTCGATGATAATAAGAGCGTAATTTAAGTGGACTAAAAATAATAATCCAGTTGTAAATTTCAGTACCATAAAAAATAAACCAAATATAAAAATATTTTTATAAAAAATTAATATTAATAACAAACAAAAAATTAATTACAGATTGCGAGTAAATATTGGACACCCCGAGAAACGGATTCACACTTACCATTCGACAAGCAAATAATCGAGGACATCTACATCCAAGAAATATGCGCGTCAAAATTTTCAATCCGGCGAATAATGATGCTGGAGTACAGCCTGTACCTAGAAAACTTTTTATGGCCGAACTACCTAGCCTCCAGCGCCTCCCGAGCCCACACATTATCAATCGTAGTGATGGTCAACGAAAAATTCCGCGAGCGAGTTCAAGTTTGGGACGTCTTCCAAGCCAGCCCTTCCGAGTTCCCCGGCTTCATCCAAAACGTGTTGCAAGCTTGCCTCGAAGACAGTATCCTTGACTTCGACTTAAAGGAGCAAACATCCCTAATAGTTTTCTTGAACCACTGCTTCAACTCAATGGAAGTGACCTTAGTTCGAAACGAGATCAAGCGTTTAATATCCCTCTCAATGTGGGTGTCTTTGCAGCAAGGCCGCCTCGAGTTGGAGCTCAAGAAACACGACGAGTGGCGGAAGCAGTGGAAGAAGCTCAAGAAGAAGGACGAGAAGCTAAAACAAAACTTGGATTGGGAAAGAAAATTTCTTCACCGTCTAATGATTAAATTTATGGCTATCTTAGACACAATTACCGAAGAAGGTCCTTTAAATCCCGACAAAATTCATTATTGTGAAAGATTCTTAGAGCTGATGATTGATTTAGAGGCTTTGCTGCCCACTAGGAGGTATTTTAATACAGTAATGGACGACTGCCACCTAGTAGTCAGATGTTCGCTCTCCAATTTGCTAAAAAGACCCGAAGGGAATTTATTCGGGCAGCTATTAGAAATGTTGAAGTTCTACGCAAAATTTGAGATCGACGAGAAGACCGGAGACGCTTTAACAGACCACGACATGACTCACATCCACTACGAAAAGATAACTTCCCTCCAAAAAGCGTCTCGCGCTAAATTCCCAGAGCTCAGAAGCTTCGCAATGGCCAACGTGGCAAGCGTTGACACGCGCGAAGCTTTAGAAAAACACTTTGGCTCTCTAAGTGAGGAAAAACTCATCGCAGTTGCCTGCTATTTAAACCTAGTCCCTCCAGAAGAGCGAGCTAACGCGGAAAATTGGTACCGGATGGACAAGCAGTTCCTCCAGGAGCTGCTAATCTCTCGCCACGAGCGGAGATCTTCTCAACTTGAAGAATTAAACGAGATGCCGCTGTACCCAACCGAGGACGTGATCTGGAACGAGAATATAGTCCCCACGGAATATTTTTCCGGCGAAGGTTGCTTAGCGCTGCCCAAATTAAACCTGCAATTTTTAACTCTGCACGATTATTTACTGCGAAATTTTAATTTATTCCGTTTGGAGTCGACTTATGAAATCCGCCAGGATATTGAGGACTCTGTAAGCAGACTGAGTCCCTGGAAAGCCGAAGACGAGGGTGTTTATTTCGGGGGCTGGGCCAGAATGGCTCAACCTATTACTCAATTTGCTGTGGTAGAAGTCGCTAAGCCTAATATTGGCGAGAAAAGACCCTCCAGAGTGCGCGCAGATGTTACAATAAATTTGAGCATCCGTAAGGAAATAAAATCCGAGTGGGAGAATTTGAGGAAGCACGACGTTTGTTTTTTAATTACTGTCAAACCTCCGAATCCAATTGGGACTAAGTACTCCCACAAGCTGCCCTTTTTGCCCCAAGTGGGCTTAACAGCTGTCCGTGGCTGCGAAATTGAGGGCATGTTGGACTCCAATGGCCGTGTTATTGAAGACGGTCCTGAACCTCGGCCTATTTTGCCCGGAGATTCAAGGACTTATAGAGTTTGGTTAGATTCTAATCAGTACCGCTTGGACATGGACACTGCCAGTCAAGGCAACGAAGATATCTATGAAGGATTTAGTATTATAATGCGAAGAAAGCCCAAGGAAAATAATTTCAAAGCTGTTTTGGAGACTATTCGAGAGTTAATGAACACCGAGTGTGTTGTTCCTGATTGGCTGCATGATATTATTCTGGGTTATGGCAATCCTGGCGCTGCCCAGTACATGGAGATGCCCAATCGGCTGCCCACTATTGATTTCAACGACACATTTTTGGACATCGACCATCTTAAGTCCAGTTTTCCGGACTATAAGATTAAAGTAAAGACCCAAGACCCGGAAAAATTGGTCAGACCTTTTAGGATTACTTTTGAAGAAGAAGAAGATGGGATGGGAATTTCGGTAGAGTCTCATGTAATTCCCAGCAGAGGGCCTTACAAGGCTAACCAACCTAAGAAAAACCAGATCCCGTTCACGCCGACGCAGATAGAAGCAATTCGCGCGGGAATGCAGCCGGGATTGACGCTGGTAGTTGGTCCCCCTGGTACCGGTAAAACAGACGTAGCAGTCCAGATTATTTCTAACCTCTACCACAATTTTCCAAACCAGCGGACGTTGATTGTAACGCACTCTAACCAAGCTTTGAACCAACTTTTCGAGAAAATCATGGCGCTGGATATTGATGAGAGGCATTTGCTTCGTTTGGGTCACGGAGAAGAAGCTCTGGAGACTGAGAAGGACTTCAGTCGCTACGGGAGGGTTAATTATGTACTAGCAAAAAGGATAGACTTGCTAGCAGAGGTCCAGAGGTTGAAAGATTCTTTGGATGTTAAAGGGGACGTCGCTTATACTTGCGAGACCGCTGGGTATTTTTTTATGGACCAGGTTATCACTCGGTGGCAATCTTTTGAGGCCAAACTTAAACAAGCTGATGATACGGGAGAAATTAGTGTAATTAAAAATGAATTTCCTTTCACGAAATTCTTTAATAATTCAGCCGCAATCCAGCCGCTGTTCAAGTCCCAGAGCTACGAGGAAGATTTGGAGACTGCTGAGAGCTGTTTCAGATATATAGAGAGTGTTTTTAAGCAACTGGAAGAGTTTAGAGCCTTTGAATTACTCAGGTCTGGTCTAGATCGCTCGAAATATTTGCTGGTTAAAGAAGCTAAGATTATTGCGATGACTTGTACTCACGCTGCGTTGAAAAGAAGGGAATTAGTGGACATGGGATTTAAATATGACAATATACTTATGGAAGAGTCGGCCCAAATTTTGGAAATTGAAACTTTTATTCCTCTGCTGTTGCAAAATCCAGAGGATGGTTATAATAGGTTGAAGAGGTGGATCATGATTGGAGATCATCATCAATTACCTCCGGTGATTAAAAACATGGCGTTCCAGAAGTATTCTAACATGGAACAGTCGCTGTTCACAAGATTTGTTCGATTGGGAGTTCCAACTGTTGATTTAGATGCTCAAGGCCGTGCCAGGCCGAGTATCTGCAATTTATACAACTGGAGGTATAAAAAATTAGGCAATCTTAAACATGTTGAACAAAGTACTGAGTACTTGACTGCTAATGCTGGGTTCTGCTTTGATTACCAATTAATCAACGTCGAAGACTTTCATGGAGCTGGAGAGACCGAGCCCTCGGCTTACTTCTATCAAAACTTGGCTGAAGCGGAATATTGTGTGGCTGTTTTTATGTACATGAGGCTGCTTGGATACCCTGCGGATAAGATCACCATCCTGACGACCTACAATGGTCAGAAACACCTGATAAGAGATGTGATTACTACCAGGTGTGCTAATAATCCGCTAATTGGAAGGCCAAGCAAGGTGACGACGGTTGACAAGTATCAGGGGCAGCAAAATGATTATATTTTGCTGTCCTTGGTAAGGACTCGCGCGGTTGGGCATTTAAGGGATGTTAGACGTCTTATTGTCGCCATGTCTCGTGCCAGGCTCGGGTTGTATGTCTTTGCGAGGGTCAATTTATTTAAAGACTGCTTCGAGCTGAGGCCTGTTTTTCAACAGCTCATGCGCAGGCCAGTTAGCCTTCAGCTGGTTCCTGATGAGAGTCATCCCACGGAGAGACTGAACAAGGATTCTCCTGAAGCTCCGGTTGTGGAGATTAAGGATATGCCGCATGCTGCTAATTTTGTGTATGAGCTATACACGAAAAAAGTCTCCAATATGAAGGTATTTATAAAAATTTTTTGTCATTATCTATACTGTTGAGAGAATAAGAAAAATTTTGATTTTGAGATAGTTGTATGATAAATTCGGTTTTTTTAGTGGAATTTAGTATCATTGCAAAGATAAATTTGGGCATTTTTAAGGTTTTATATTATTTTTATCGATAGTCAATTTATTATAAGTATTTAGGCTGCAGTCGGAAGCTCTTTGGATAGATAATTAAGAAATGACCTTTTATCTTGTGAATTATTGACATTTTTAAAGATATAAGCTCATCATGGTGTTACTCTCATCGAGACCTTTCATTTGAGTACCCACATCAATTTTTCATATATTTTATATATTATAATATATGTATATATGAAAAATATATGAAAAGTGCATGTGGGTACTCAAATGAAAGGAGGTTTTATATTATTTTTATCGATAGTCAATTTATTATAAGTATTTAGGCTGCAGTCGGAAGCTCTTTGGATAGATAATTAAGAAATGACCTTTTATCTTGTGAATTATTGACATTTTTAAAGATATAAGCTCATCATGGTGTTACTCTCATCGAGACCTTTCATTTGAGTACCCACATCAATTTTTCATATATTTATATATATTATATATATATGTATATATGAAAAATATATCTAAATGCATGTGGGTACTCAAATGAAAGCTCTTGATGAGTGTAACATCGGGATGAGCTTATATCGTTAAAAACATCATTAGTTAACAAAATGCAACAGTCATTCCTTAATTCTTAACATTTTCGTAAATATAAGTCCATTCTGATGTTACATTCGCCGGGACCTTTCATTTGAGTACCCACATGCACTTTTCATATATTTTATAAATATCATATATAAATATATAAAAAATTGATGTCGGTACTCAAATGAAAGCTCTTGATGAGTGTAACATCAAGATGAGCTTATATCTTTCAAAACTTCAATTGTTAAGAAATTACAGTGCAATTTAACAAAAGTCATTATTTAATAAAGCAAAATTTTAATCATTTATAGTTCACAAGTCACGGCAGTCACATAGTGACTGCAATATTGCTAGTTGTTATTATTATTATTTCTTTAGTTTATTGGATTTGTTGATAATTGATTTTAATTTTTTTTTTTTTTAGGATGCCTTTAAAGGATATGAAAGACTGGACGTAGCACATGAGACTGCTACAAATGTATTAAGTAATGGTAAGGAAAAAGAAAATGTAGTTGTAGAACAAAACAAAGAAGAAAAATCAATTACTGATCGTGAGAAAAATCCTACCGAAGACATGGTCGTTGAATTCGAAGTCGTAGATAAAAATATTGATAACCAATGCAAAATGGAGGAAGACTAATAAAAAAATTTTTTTAATTTTTATTTGAAATTAATTATAATAATTTAGTTGTAAAAATTAAAAAAATTGAAAAGTGTATCTTAATTTCAATATCATTAAATTAATTTAATTAATGAAATAAGATTATTTTGTAAAAATAATTAAGTTTTTTATTGTAAATAAAAAAATTAAAAACAAAATTATTTACAGTTTAAATTTAAGCGCTATTTTAACTATTTTAATTAGTTCCCCCAAGTGTCATTTACAAAAACTAAAAAATTAAAATGGCCGTTTTATCGTAACGACGTGACGCATTGAATATAGCCTCATAGCGTTTACAACTTCCAACCTCCAACCGACATTTCACTCGAGTAATAATCCAAAAAGGTAAATCCGCAAATATTTATTACATCATTTATTGATATTCACTCGAAGTAATTTCGTAATAAACAAATAATTGTATTTTTTAATGATAAATCGATAGTCTAGTGCGATGAATTTTAATGTCAATGCAACTTTGATTTTTCCAACGGTCTCGCGTGAGTCTAAAAAAAAATCATTGCCTTTTACGGTCAAATCTATTTATCCTTGAATTTTTTTTGTTAATTAACTATATAAAAAATTTTTATTTTTAATTAAACAGTGATAAGTTTGTTTTTAAGTTTATTTACAATTATGTTCAAAAAAATTGGACTTTAGAGTTGATTTTTTGTAACACGTTCTTGATATAGAAACAAAAATGGCGCGGCCGGCTTTTATTTTGTCCCAACAAATTTTTTTTTTTAATTTTTAATTTATTAAATTAGAACTCAAAAATATTTTTAATAAATTGCATTTAAAGTTTTTTAAAAATAAAATTTTTTGATAACAATTTTTCACTTAAAAAAAAGTTTTCAAGTGTCGAATAATTTTTTTTTTATCAATTATAAATTTGTTAAATTTTACTTTGTCTAATTTTATTTTAAAATGATGATAACACAGTGATGGTTTCGCTAAAATTTATTTCACTGTCAGAAAATAATGAAGAGAAACTTGGCTGTCTGAAAAAATAAATAAAAAAAATAATTAATTATTGCAATAAAATTTTTAATTAGTACTAATTAAAAATAAATAAAATTTACAGATAACAAAAATGCCAGAACTCACCGAATTGGACAAAGCAGCGAGCTCAGACTCTAAAGTAGAGGTGATCCCCGCTGGATCTGGCACTGAGTCAGATTCCGATGACTCGATCCCAAACTTGGAGGACCCAAGTGCCGGCGGTGGTAGCTACTCTGGCACCAACGTCAGTGGACTCCCGATCGACGTAATCTCCAAAGCCAAACAGACACGTGGTGAGAAGAAAGCACGTAAACTGATGAGCAAGCTCGGGTTGAAGCTGGTACAGGGTGTTAACCGCGTTACTATTCGCAAAGCCAAGAATATTTTGTTTGTCATCAACAAACCTGATGTCCTCAAGAACCCGGCTTCTGACACTTACATCATTTTTGGTGAAGCTAAGGTACAAATTCAAAAATTTTATTTTTTTAGAAAAGTTAAATTTTACCGACATTAATTAATAATGATTACTTGAAATTTAATTTAAAAAAAAAAATTTTTAATTACAGTCACTAATTTAACATTACAAATTAATTTTTTTGCTTAAAGAATTATAGAACATAAGACTAAAATTAGTAGACAATTTTTTGATTTTTTTTTTGATTTTTTTTTTTTTTTTTTTTTAAATTAAATTAAAATTAAAAAAACATTTTTTGAAAATTACTCTCAGAATTATCTTTAATATATTTTTTTTTTTTTTTCAAGTCTTCTACATGTTAATTTTTCATAAAAAATTTTTTCAATCATTTTCTCAGTAAGAAAAATCATGAAAATTTTCAAATGTCTGCTTAATTTATTTTTGTCACTGGGAAATTTCTTTATTTTTCTTGAAAAATAAATTAAGTCTAAAAAATAGCATTTATAATTTTTTTTAAGCCTCTAAAATTGAATTTTTTGAATAAATTTTTGTTACAATTTATTTATTGTAAAAATCGTTATTGATTTTTTATAAAATCCTGAAATATTGCCAGCTAATTTTAGTTATCATCTTAAATTTTATTTTTAATTGAAGATATTCTTATTAAAAAAAAAAAAAAAAAAACTAATTTTTTTAAAATTGACACAATAAAAATTATTTTTAAATAAATTAATTGAAAAAAAATTATTTTAGATTGAAGATTTAAGTCAACAAGCACAAGTTGCTGCTGCTGAAAAATTCAAGGAACCACCAAGCATTGCAACCGCTGAAGCTGGTGGAAGTACATCCGTTGTAGCGCCAATTCAAGAAGAATCTGAAGAAGAAGTCGATGAGACAGGGGTTGAGGATAAAGATGTCGAGTTGGTCGTCGCACAAGCCCAAGTGTCTCGGGCGAAGGCTATAAAAGCACTCAAAAATAATCAGAATGATATCGTTAATGCTATTATGGTAAGATTTGTTATTAATAAATTTATTATTTATTTATTTATTTATTTATTATCAATTGAAATTAAATTTATTTTTTACACATGATGATACCCGTGAAGGTTTCGCTAAAATTTTAATATTTCACTGTCAGAAGTAAAACCGTGAAGTAAAACTTGGCTGTCTGAAGAATTTATCTACTATAATTTTTTATTACAAATATTTTTTATTAAATTATTAATGAAACATTTGTTTATTTTTTGTTACAGGAGCTGACGATGTGATAAACTAAAAGCATTTGTTGTTCATTAGTCTCTGCTGCAAAAAAGCCAATTACGATAAATATGTTCTTTTTTTTTTTTTTATCAATAAGTTATCATTCTCGTTTTTTTAAAAACGCTGCGAAAAATTAATTATGTAATTCAAACACAACTAATGAGTGGTTCAAGAACAAAATAACTACGTCAGTACTAAAAATTTTAATTGTAAAATCTATATATGACGATATTCGTCATATCAATGAAATTACTTTTAATGTATATATACATCAGTTTCATTAAAAATAAAATAATTAAATAACATTGCTCATTTAAGAAATATTTTTTTTATATGATTATTTTTTAGGTATTAAGTTAATTAATATATATACATCAATTTTGATCATATCCTTGTAATTATAAAAAAAAAATTAGTCTTAAAAAAAAATTTAATAGTGTCTAATGATATTAAAATGAGCACTTTGCATTTTTTACCTAACAAATTTGTTGACAAAAATTATTTTTAAAATGATGATAAGTATTTAAGTTGCATTAAAAAATGCTCTATTTCTAGATACATAATTAAGAAAT